CGGTTATGTGTCAACTTCAAGGCCTGTGAGTGTGTCTGTCTTTGTATATGTATGTGTCTGTTTGTGTTCGCTTATGCACGAAACCCGCAGTGATGGCTCAAAGTAATTATGACAGCAAAAAGGAACGTCTGTTTTTGGCCATCAAGGTTTGACGACCCCTATCTCCCCCTTTATACATACATGTTATGACCATCAGTACGATTGCGCAAGGTCGGACACTCGTCTGGTTTTGTTGATGAGCCTTATTTTTAGAAGTTGGTCTTAATACAAGAGAAATAGAGTTAGCTAAAAATACAGAGAAGTCACTATGATTATAATCAAGACAAGAAAAGACTAGTTGCGTCGCCTCCTTTTTGCAGTCGGCTCAACTTATTCTCTATCCTTAAGTCTATTAATTAAGCACAAGTAATTTTTACTTATCTTCTTACCTGTAGTCCTTACATTCAATTTATTTCATATTCGGTTTCCCTGAAGACCGTTTTTATTCCTCAATTCCTTACTTGTTCACCTATCCTTTTAAAGAGAATGCACGAAGGTAAAGACAAATCATGAGAAAAGGTCTCCTTATCTCTCCCTACGTATTCACCATTCAAAAATTTATTCTTTATTAATCTAATGTTATTGTCAATCAAGCCTAGGGGATAATTATTCTCAAGAAATATTATTTTAAGCCGATTCAGTTCATTGTCACAATGGCTTAAGACAGTGATTCCCAAACTGTGCGCCGCGGCGCCCCGGGAAGCCGCGAAATATTGTAAAAGCTTCACTTCGAGAAACTGTGCAGGGATTTGCAGGCTCATCCATCACATTAATTATTAAATATTAATTTAATGTCAATAAAGTAACAAAAATAATAAAGATACACGAGTTTTATTTATCTTTATCTCTTACTTACTAATAGTCATACTTAGGGTAGGGCGCAATGGAAAAATTTTTAATTGACAAAGGGCGCCGCGACTAGGAAAAGTTTGGGAACCACTGGTTTAAGAGATTCCTCAAAACCCAAATTTTCTTCGCATAACTTAACTCTGTTTTTATTTTATTTTAAACTCTGACCTTTTATCCAGTTAGTTTAATCGCAGGCCTATTTTTCTGCCTGTCTCCATTTCATATGCCAG